ATGCATGAAGGCAAGCAATCCAATTGATCAAGCTTTTTTAGAGTTAGGAAAAACAAAGAGGGCGGGAGGTCTGGCAATGATTTGAGCAGGGAAATGCTTTCTAAGGATAGATACTTAAGGGATGAGACGTCCAACAAAGAAGATGGGAGGCATTGCAACGATTCGAGATTTTCAAGCTCTAATCGTCTGAGAGTGGTGGGGATCTTCGGTGGGAGCAATTGAAGCTGAGGAACCATTTTAATATGTAGAGATTCAAGTGAAGAGTAGGGCAAAGAAATTGGCAACCACCGCAAAGATACGAGATATTCAAGCATAAGATGTTTCAAAGAGGCGGGGATTTCAGGCAGCAGTCGGAGCTGAAGAACATCTTTCACATGTAGAATCTTAAGTGAAGATTTGGAAAAGGAAAATGGCAGATGCTATAATGATTCGAGATGTTTAATCTTTAAGTGTTCGAGAGAAGCAGAGGAACCTTTTCCACATGTAAAATCTTAAGTGAAGAGTCACCCCTAAATGATGGAAGACTCTGCAATGAGTCGAGTCTTTCAAGCCATTATTGTTCTAGGGAGGCAGGTATGTTAGGCAGTTGCTGGAGCATAGGAGCATCTATCACATATAGAATCTTAAGTGAAGAGTCTTCCCTAAGAGATGGAAGATGCAGCAACAATTCAAGTTCTTCAAGCTTTAAATTTTCTAGAGAGGTCGGGATGTTAGGCAGTTGCTGGAGCTTAGAGGCATCTTTCACATGTAGAATCTTAAGTGAAGAGACGTCCCGAAAAGATGGAAGATCCTGCAATGATTCGAGTTTTTGAAGACTTAATTGTTTCAGAGAGGCGGGGATGTACGACAGCCTCTGGAGCATGGGAACATCTATCATATCTAAAATCTCAAGTGAAGAGACATCCGTAAACGACGGAAGATCCTGCAATGCTTCTAGTTTTTGAAGCCTTAACTGTTTCAGAGAGGCGGGGATGTAAGACAGCCTATGGAGCTTGGGAACATCTATTATATGTAAAATCTCAAGTGATGAGAAGTAAGGGAGAGCCTGAAGATTTTGAAGTCTTTCCAATTTCAACTCACGAATGAAACTAACTTTTTGAAACCACTGTTCTGCCCCATATGGAAATGAAATCACTGGACAATCCATAATTTTTAGCAAGTTAATGGACTTGGTACTTCTCAATGGCTCCATCATCAACACCGATGGATCATTTATAACTTCTGCCCTCACTCTGAGCTCATAGCTCGAAGCCATATATCTTGAGAGATTCTTTAAATTGCTGCAGTTTCGAATTAAGATGTTGCAACAGTTGTTGTTATCGTTTAGAAAGTCAAAAGATTTCCACGTAATTTTATTCAACACCAATCTCTCGAGCTTAGGAGCTAAACAGGACAACAACTGCAATTTTGGGCAGTCTTTGAGGTAGAGTTTCTTTAAGCAAGGAAACAAACAGTTATCTTTTGCTGCTTCTACATCAAACCAAACCTCCAACACTTGTAAATTTTCAATATGTAGCAACTCCAGTGATGGAAGGGTACAAACCTTTGGATCATGATGAAATTTATTATCAAGCAGCTCTATTTTTGGCATGTTATGAAGGTAAAGATACTTGAGACGAGGAAGCTGCCCAAAAGGTGGAAGAATTTCCCAGTTCAAACACTTATCCAGTTTGATGTATTCTACATTAAAAATTGAATTGACTTTGCTCAACCATAATGTAAACCCTGCACCCATGTGCCCATGGATCAACAATTCCTTTATGTTGCTGGGTGGTTCAAGTTTTTCAAGCATCACCACTTCTGAATCTGAATCTGAATCTGGTCCCACTTTTCTTGATGTTCTACTATTCTTATCTATTTGAAGGTTTGTAAGCAGATGTTCAAAGTTGGTAAAGGTGCCACTTTCCTCAACTGTGCGTTCATAGAAACCCCATTTAAGTGTGCCACTTCTTTCCTTATCTATGCAGTCATAGTCACCCCAATCTAAGGACAAATTTGTGAGGTTTTTCTTATAATCTAATTCATCACTAGGAAAACTGAATTCATCACTATAAATACGGTAACGACATCTAGGATTCCTCACTTTTTGTATTCGACAAATCTCATTCGAATGTTTCAGCTCCCAAATCTTATAACCATTCTTAATCCTAACATAAAATCCATCCAATTTTTGAAGTGACTTTAAATTCCAATGCCCAAACATCCCAGAAAAGGATTTCCGAGGCAATTTTAGGTAACGTAGATTTGAAAGATTATTCATATCTTCTGGGATGAAATCATCAGAAAATGCCCATTTAGATATTGAATTAAAGATCAAAAACTGCAAGTGATAAAGATTGCAAAGAGCTTTTGGTAGCAGTGCTATTCGGGTTCTATAAAAATTCAAGTATCTGAGATGTATCAAATTTTCGATTGACTCTGGGCACCAGTTTCAAACATGGAAAACACATGAATAACACACGAACGCTTCTCAATGCTTTGAAAACTTCAGTAAGTACATCCATAAAATTTTGATCTTGATCTTCTCGACAAGTCAAAAAAAACGAACGTAATGTTTCAATTTTGTAATCTCTCTCAGCATATCTAGATTTGTAATATCAACAAATAAGTGTCGAATAGTTTCAGGAATGTCAAAAGACAAATCTTTATTTTCCACAAACCTAAAGCATTTTTTCTGAGAAACATCCCGTGCTAATGCATGTATTAAGTCATGCATCGTATAAAATGTCGAGTTTTTCTTGTCAAAAAAAGATATTTTGACCAAAGTATCAAAATACCATCTGCCCATATCTTCGATAGTGTCTCCTGGGTTAGAAGGCGGCTGGACAAAATCCAATGCAATCCACATTCGAACCAAATCATCTTTATCAAATAGATGACCTTGTGGGAATATACCACAGAATGCGAAACAATTTTTTAAAGGATCTGGGAGGATGGAATAGCTCAATCTTAAGACTGTAAGGATTGTATTTTTATCCTGGCAAGGCAGTGATGTTATGCTTTCAATATTTTTATTCAAAACTCTTTGCCAATGCTTACTTTTGCTGGGAGTCAATTCAGACTTAAGAATACATCCAATGACCTTTGCCGCCAAGGGAGAACCGGAAAGCTTTTTAACGATCTCTTCAGCAATGCACTCTAACTCATTATGAACAAGGCTACTGTTTTCTTTAACACCGAATGCACCGAATGCACCGAATGCATGAGCTTTGAGGAGTTGCAAGCACTCATCATCCTTCAAGCCCTCTAATCTCAACATTTTATTCTTCTTTCTAATCACCTCTGCAATCATGGATGCAATTGAATCCATCCGGGTTGTTACCAAAATCTTACCTCCCAAGCTTCCCTTAGCCAGAGGGGAGAGCACATTCCCCCATTTGGTAGTACTCCCCTCCTCCCAAACATCATCCAGAACAAGCAAAAACTTCTTGGACTGCATCACAAATTTAAGTGTGTTTTGAAGAGCAGGAAGTTTCATTAAATGAGGCTTCCATTTATTAAGATATTTCAACATATCAGTAATGACTTCTTCCTCTTTAAAGTTGTTGGAAACACACACCCAAATCTTCAGATCGAATTCCTCTTTCACATCTTCAAAGACATGTTGCAAGAGAGTCGTCTTCCCCATACCACCAAGACCCACTATAGACAAAAGAGAAATGTTATTGTATAAATCTGTGTCACTTGGATCTTGATTTGATGGCTCTCCCAACCGCTTCATAACATTAGCTTTTTCCCTACCGCGACCGATGAAAACAGGTCCAGGGGAGGATCCCCTTTCACGATCGTCGGAAGCCGCCTTCTCTTCAGTGTATTTTAAAATTTGAAAAAAATTACTCACCTCAGTTGAAACTTTATCGAGATTCCGCACAACCTCCTTCAATCTCTTCAAGTTGGGATCATCTTGGAGAACACCATCCCCAACTCTGCGAAATTTGAGAGCCAATTCCCAAATGAGCGGAGGGATGAAGCCTCGTTTTTTTGATTCAGTTTTTTCCACGTTGGGTCTGGCTAGCTGCTCTTTAAGCCCCAAGTACTGAAACTCCTCGAGCAAATCATTTGCATCATCAATGGCATCTCGTAGCCGCTGCATCCACTCATCCAGTGCCTCGCTACAATCTCTGATCTGTGCTTGGTTGGAAGCGGAGACCACATCTTGAATCTTATTTCGGTAACCTCGCAGCCTATCCAGCTCCTCCTCCACGCTCGTATGCGATTCGATCCGACCTTGAAGGTACTGCAAGCAAGAGTCGATGATCGCATCCATCATTTTGTCAACCAACCATGTTGCCATCGTGCCAACGATCAACACAGAGCACAACAACCTAAGAGTAGGAGAGACGGTGGAAGAGAGGAAGAAAGGATCATCGGATTTCGGAACTTGGAAGAGCGGACGGCCAATAAGCTGCTTTTTTGAAATTGTATTGTGGGGTTATATTTGTATTATATCGTCTCTGACCTTCATATAAAATATATGTAACTTTAAATTAATGAAAATATAAGCGCAGAACTTACTATAACCTAACAGTTAAGCTATAAGGAGGTTACAAGGGTATAATGCAGATATAATCTCTCAATATCTTCTATGTAATCTAGTGACATACACAGCGCTACATAAGTCTTACATATGCAAATTTTTCTTATGTCGAAGGTGGTTGGGCTTCTTGATAGAAATGTAAAAAAAGAAAAGAACTACATACGCACTCAATTGGTATATGTTTATATATTTGACGTCTAAACTTTAATTTTACGTTTCACTCTCTAAAAATTACATTTTGATATTTTTATGCTGATGATATAAATGCAAAAAATAAGTTTTAGGCGTAAATACATAGAAAAGTTCAATGACTCAAAAAATATATGATTGACCAACACCTGCTTTTAAAAGGTTAGATATGTTACATGAAGAATTCGAGTGGTATAAACCCTAAAAAATGAAAATAATATTGCCTGGGTCTCATGATATACTCTTCACAAGTTCAATAATACAGGTCAGGGTCAGGGCCAGGGTTTTTTTTGTTAATGTTTTTTCATTCGAAGATTTGCATACATGCCACTCAATTCTTATGGTTTTGCATATCTCTGACGCCTAAACTTCAATTTTACATATATGATCGATCCGTTTGGGGCAGCTTATTTGGTGCGGTGATGTTTTGAAAACTCACATGGCCTGTTTGGGTAAACTGCATTTTTTAAGTTTATGCGTTTTGAAAACGCTTAAAACAACATTTCACATTGCACCTAGATAGGTGTGCGGTGACAGCTTTCTGGCAATGGTTTGAGTTTTTCAAAAAAATAAAAATTTATAATTGTCACTGCACCTAGTATATCAGCATATTATTTTTAATCAGTTTATTAGCATATTATTCAATAAGTTGCAGCTGCCCCAAACAGACCCGACACATCTTATCTGTGCATGAAAATATATATATTTGTTTTTTTTAATAGTTAAAAATGGTGGTATTTTTAATGTGACATGAAAGATTTTGGTGGTATTAATATAAAAAGAAAGTAAAATTTTAGTATTATATATGCAAATAGATATCAATTGTGTGGCTTGTATGTAAATGCCCTTTTTTTCATTTTCCTAGTGACATTTCCCATGTTGTAAGGAGGGTGAGGGGATATCTAAAGGACTTTTGGGAATTCATTAATTAGAATTTAATCAATTAAAGTAGATTTTATGGAGGGAGACAGCCAGAGGTTAAGGGAGTATTGCCTTCCTAATTTGTTTGTTTAATTCTTTATAGAAAAGCATTTACATACATACCACACAATTGTTATATATTTACATATCTAACACCTCAAAGCTTAATATTTATGGACTATCACCTACTTCAAAAAAGTTAAATAAACATATTCATGTATAGATCTATCGCACCAAAATATTATAAATATAAATATAAAAGTTCAGATGTTATATATGTAAATATATAAGAATGGCATGGTATGTAAGTGAATTTCCCTTATAGTAAAGAATTGATAGTTTCTTAATGCCTCGCTTTTTGCTTGCCTTCTTAATAAGTTGGTTATTCGACTCAATCTATGATGCATCTATTTAGATGTGAGGATATGAACATGATATGATATGAATAAGAGAAGCCCCTTATATTAATCATTGTGGCCCCTTATATTAATCCCCCTTATATTAATAATTGTGTTACTTTAACGAGTAATACTAATCATGAAGACGAGCGTGTAGATCCCAACAAAAATCAATAGTTAGAGTACTAACAAGATTGGTCCCATGAGAATGACACCAATCTTTCAAACTCCAATTTTAAAGCAAGAGCTAATTTTGTGAAATGCTCATCTCTGGTATAGGAAAAGTATGACGACATGACCGTCACTAATTGACAGTCCAGACGTGCAGTGTTCGAACGGAATAATTTCTCTTGATATGAACATCAAAACACAATATGAAAAAGTTGCTCCACTAAGAATTCCATCTTTATCGGATACGACAGAAAGGTTAATGTGTAAGGCTTGTAGAGAAGTTTCACACCAACTAGAAGACCAAAATTCAAAGCACACCCTAACAACTAACTTGGGTTGAGATTAATTTTGGTGTCCGGTTGTTGGAGGCCTCATAATAGTCTATAAACATATGTGAATAACTGAACAAAATAAATCAATTCAAACTCTTAGCCAAACATGATTTATATAGTTACTGTGTAGAAAATTACTTTAAAAACTGCCGGGAATTACAGCAGTTTGCTTATAACCACCACCAATAATGCGTGTTCAAAAATGCATCCTTTGAATGCAGATTTTCTATGAAGCAGTAAAAAAACAATTCTTCAAACTGAACCAAGGTGACGATTTGAAGAACAAAGCAGGTAGACAGCTGTATGAAACAACTGATCCCAACAAAAATATAATAGCATTACTATTTACCTTCTTCTTGGCCAAACGATCTCGTCAAATATTACTCCAAAAATTGCCAAACCACACCAACCAAGTGACAACGTTTCCTCTCTCCAAAAAACAAAACAAAATCACAAAATGATTACTGTTAAAGAAAATAAAATAAAAAACAATGTCCATTCAAGCAATCATACTAAATCAATTTTGATTTATTTAACAAAATAAATAGTAGAAATCAACCAAAGCACCAAATATACACAACAAAATTTCACTGACAACATAATGGTAGAAGTCAATTCCTAAACAGCTCCCTCTAAACTGAAATAAAACATAAATATAGAGTTCAATGAGATCTACTGGTCATCAGTGATGCTTCCCTTCTCACTCACATATATACCATCAAGAAACTTTCTGATGTCCTTGTTCTTCACATGGCATTTCTGTGATTAAAAAGGAAATATTAATTATTTCAAATAAACAAAATAATATATTATTTGAGGCATTTACATTCGTGACATCCAATCTTTATGTATATACATATCTAACACCTAAATTATAACTTTCTGATGTATTTTCTCTTCACAAGCCATTTGCATACATGCCACCCGATTCATATGCATTTACATATCTAACACCTAAATTATACTTGTTACATTTATAATACCAAAATCTTTCGTATCACATAAAAAACACCACCATTTTTTACTTTTGAAAAAATAAAATACACCTCATACAAAGGTGAGATGAGACGGTATGCATTTATGCAAATTTTCCTATTTTTAAAGTTGATTTAAAGTTAAAGTGAGAAGTGATGAAGCGAGAGTGATGGACCTGATTAATTAAGGCGGCAGAGCGAGAGACTAGCTCGATATCATTTCCATCAAGGATTAGCTCATCCTTGACCTTTTCAGACCTGATAATGGTCACTCCTTCAAGCATGTCCACCTTTCGAACCTTCAAGCATGTCCACCTTTCTAACCTGGAATGAAATAAATATCTATTAACTATAGAGACAAATATTAACAATCGAAAAATGGTATCTACCGTGCAATTAAGATAATTTCATAATGCATTTAGGAGAGATTTTTCGCTGATAATAAACACAAGAATGACAGCTATTACTTGGTGAATAAAATGATTTAACATAAAAATTCAAACAAAGCATATAAAGTGATTTTCTGTGCAAGTCATAAATAAATAAGCTGAAAATGTACATTCATAATGAATAAAAGATTTTATGCGGCGAATAAAATGTAATATCGCATTGATTTGACAGATTGCAGTTATACTTAATATTGCACCTTCAGGACCTCAAACTCAGTTCGAAGGCTTATAAATATGTCTGATTTTCACCCAAACATATCCAAAAGTTCAACCGAATTAAGATTAATAAATTCATTTAAAACCATTCATGTGTATTATCTTCGATGAAAAAAATTTCTTCGAAAAAACTTCTACGCCCTGTTAAAACAAAATTTGCTATAACTCATTTAACTACATAAAGCAGGCAAGAAGTTAAGCAATTATTTCAGACAACATTCACTTTTATTAAATGGCTTAACTATATAGGCCAAAAAAATTTAGAAGAAAAAGAAGTTAAAAAACTATTCATGGTATTATCATTGATGAATAAAATTTTTTTGAAAAAACTTCTAGGTTGTGCTAAAAAAAAATTTGCCGCAATCCATGTGACTACATAGAGCCTGTTAGAAGTTAAGCAATCATTCGAGACAATATTCACTTCTATTAAATGACTTACTATATGGGAAAGAGGTCAAAAAATTATTTTCAGTAAAAGATTTTGATCTAATGTCACATATAGGAAAAAAATCACAAGATTGCTGATTCAAAATTTTAAAATGATGAAATAAAAAAAAAGCCAGGTATTTGTTTTATTTACAAGGCAATTGATGAGATCAAAAAATTAATAGCCTGTAATTTAAGAAGAGAGGTCAATTCAAGGGAGATTTTAAATATGATTGATGAGAAATGGGAACTTCAACTCCACTGCCATTTGCATACTACTGGATATTTTCTTAACTATCAATTTCAATATATTAAGAATACCAATTTCGAGATCAAGTCAGAGCATTATATGGATGAGTTTGTAGCTGACTCAATGGAGAGAGCAACTGCTGATATGTAAAGAATTATATTTAGAAATAAAGAAAATTACTTTGGGATATAGCAAGCTAAAACATATTGTTGCAAAATGCTTTTTTTTTTCCAAATAATTCTTAATATTTAATGTCTTTATTAAAATAAATAATAACTCCAAATTTAACTTTTAAACTCTAACTATATTATTTTCTTTCAAAAATAGTTAATTGTGGATCCAATTTAATGTGACACTAAAAAACTACAATGTTTTGATGTTAAAATACTGAGATTTATATGCTTATCACCTGGATGTGGGTGCAACTGGAGTGGAGCAGACATAATTTAATTTACAAAAAAAAATCATGTGATGATCTTAAGAATGAATTTCTTAGTGTATATCATGTA